TTTAAATCAAAAATCTTTTTTAGATTTAAATCTTTTTTACAATTTAAATCATTTTAGGAAAGATTTAAATCTTTTCGAAAGATTTAAATCTTTTTGTGGTTTTGGATAACTTTAAAAATGCTTTCGGTAGGCCAAAGATAATGAATACTTAAGTAATGTGATTTTCTCATAAATAAAACGCAAAACTTCTCTCGAATTTATTTTTTATCGTTATTAGCCCAATGCAATTCTTACGGAAATATTAATTTTAAATAATAAATATCTGATCAAGATAAAATTTTTAAGGATTTATGCAGCATTGATATCTATAGTTATGAAAATTGTTATTTAAAAATGTCATGTCGATTGGAAAATGGAATATTTCAACCCTTTAAAAGATACTTTTGGTATGCCTATGATGCCATAAAACAATGGAGACCTAGTTTTTAAGAAAAGTGATTTCTTTTCTGAAAAATCACTTAAATCCGTCAACTCTTCCTTGAGTTAACGTGCTTAATGTCATACATATATACATAAACACCCACATAGATGCACATACATCAGACTCTTTAAAAATATGTTTTTTGTACTTAGGAGACTCTCCCGGAAAAATGCATTTCATTTTCAAAATCTCCCGGCTATGAATAATGAAATTGAGTGGGTTGAATTAAAAGAGTTCTTCTCTCAACGTGAAGTTATTGCGAGTAAATAAGTAACCAAAGTAGGCGCGTTTAGGTTAATTTTTTTGAAAAATGTGTGGATGAATCAGGCAAAGAAATAAAAAATTTAATTAATTCGCTCTATCTATGCCAAGCGTGTTTATTGAACTGGTCAAAAAGTCATAATCGTTTTAATGCAACTCATGTCAAATCTGAAATAAAAGTGTGCATAAATTTAAAATACATATGTAAAGAGTTTCAGGATTATATCGATAACAAAAAAGGATTTCCAGCTGCTTGCGGTGTAAAAAATACAACTTTACAAAAAAAATATCGGGTCAAAAATATTGTAAAATTTCATACTTAAGAATAATCTTTAGTCATTGCAATTATTTGTTACACTTTACTATTTTTTGTTTTTCTTTTCTCTCGGATTTCTGGTTCAATCCTACTGACATGCTGGCTAGATTATTATTCAGGAATAGACAGGTTAATAACGATTTTGACGAATCAGGTGATGCAAATCGTTTTAAAAAGAAATCTTTAAGAAAATTTAAATCATTTTAAAAAGATCGCATCATTGTACAGATTTAAATAATTTCAGAAAGATTTAAATCAATGAAAAAATTTAAATCGTTTTAAAAATATTTAAATCGTTTTAACAAGATTTAAATCATTTCAGAAAGATTTAAATCAATAAAAAGATTTAAATCGTTTTAAAAATATATAAATCGTTTTAAGAAGATTTAAATCGTTTAAAGAAGATTTAAATCGTTTAAAGAAGATTTAAATCGTTTTAAAAAGATTTAAATCGTTTTAAAAGATTTAAATGGTTTTAAAAAGATTTAAATAAAAAATCAAAGATACTTTTCAAAAAGATTTAAATCATAAATCAAAAATAATTTTTTTACAAAAGATTTAAAATCAAAGATTTAAATCAAAAAATATATTTGAATCAAAAAATGATTTAAATCTCACTGATAGGTGACAGCTCTGATTACAGATACACTTTAACATCTAATTGTTCCTTGTATTTCGTCTGAATTTGCTAGTTGCGTTTTTCAATAAATAAATGTTCCTTGTTTACACTTATTTTTATTTTTCTTTTGCTTAAATACTGCACAGACACAATACAAACAACAGGTGATTTCTTAATAACCATTGACGGGCTCGTATTGCATCGCCCTCTCGCGTGAAACAAACAAATCTCTGCAACCACAGAGTCGGACCTATCCCTGAGACCATTATAATTATTGTGGACGATGAATGGTTTTATGAAATAAACATATTTTAATAATTTAATTTTAATTTCATTAAAGATAAATTTAAAAGATAGTTGTAAATCAGTGATTTGATTTTAATTAACCTTTTTTCTTGTTTTTTTTTTTAACAATGGCGCCCAAACAACCGGTGAATAGCAGTCCAACGTGGGGCGCCAATTTTATTGTCGCGATGCGAATGGTATTATACTAGCAAAAGCGTATAATTTTTCTTTTTTTTTTCTTATTATTCTTCTGCTGCTACTGCTGTTGCTTTTGTCCTGTCGCTGCTTGTCCGCCTTTCATTGTATTTGTCTGTTTCTGATTGTCGCCCTGTCTGTCCCTGTCTCTACCTGTATGTTTTCTTATTTCTACCTGTATTCTTTTTTTTAACTGTCTCTGCTTATCTGCTACCTTTACTGACTCCTGCTTTCGTCTTTATATTTTTAAATAAAATTTTCATTATATATTTTTATATATTCTTCTTTTATAATTTTCCAATCATTGTTCTAATACATTAATCTTATTTTGAAATTAAATAAATTCAATATTTCATATTTTCCTATCTGACTTTTTACATAAATTCTCCTCTGACATTTCTTATCCCCGCTGACAATTAATAATAAATTAATAATCATTCATCAAAAATTCTTTTCAAAAACAAAACATCTCTCCTAACTACTATTACATTCTAAAATTGTCTATACCCCATGCCAATAATGCTATTTCCAAATTTTGTGATGTCTTTCGGAAATTTCCGTATATATTAAATTTCGGGTTTGGAAGGTATTCGTCATCAAAACTGTTCTAATTTCGTGCATTTTTGGTTCAGATATTTCCCGAATTCGAGTATTGATCCTAACTAAATTTTTACTTTTAAGGCCTATAAGTCTTAAATTAATTCAAAAAGTATAAAATAAGTAGTACTATCTAAAACTAGAATAAATTTGCTTTCTCGAAGTTTCCATCGATTATTTCCATACGTTAATTTGTGATTAAATTTCAGAATTTTTACTTACATCATTGTTCTTCCGAAAAAGCGATAAACATCAATCAATACTACATACAGTGCTTTTCAGATAAAAGTATCCACCTTAAGTAACTTTTGAAGGACTGATTATTACAAAAAACAAAAAAATACGTCAATTAATATTCGAATTGGGAGATATCGTGCCATATTTAAGTTTGCTGAAAAAGTCACCCTTTCACCCCTACTATCATCCCTTCAATTTTTTTAAATGGCTTCCCCCATTTTTTTTATCCATTTTTGGATTGTTCTCGTTTAACTGATTTCAAAAATGTATAAAACATGAGGTTTAAAATAATTAGTTTATGATCTACAGGGTTCCATTATTTGAGTGACAAATTTTTACATCTCACCTTACTGACTGCAGCAAAATTGGATTTAGAATACCTTATACCTTATTCGTACCGCTAAAAACTTGTTGAAGTTTTTTATGATACATGGTAAAGGTATTGGAGATTTGAAAAATGAATTTAAATTACTTTTATAGTGTATTTTGATACATGTGCACATTGATTTGTTGAGGTTATTTATTTGATTTGAAAATGGTTTACAGTTTACAAGAAAGAATTGAACTTGTAGGTTTTTACTACAAAAATAACAGTTCTGCACGAGCTGCTGCTAGAATTTTCAACGAAACACACCAAGGAGGTCATGCAACTCATAAGTATGTAATTGATCTTATGCATAAATTTACATCAACCGGGTCAGTTGGCAATAAAAAACATAACCGACTGGAACTCGTAAATAACGAAGCAATTGAAGTCGCAGTTTTAGGACAAGTAAGTCTTGAAAATCAACAAGCACAGTCACTGACAAAAATAAGCAGAGAAGTAGGTGTTTCATCTTCCACAGTTTATCGAATATTACACAAGCATAAGTACCATCCATACAAAATTAAATTGGTTCAAGAGTTGTATGAAGATGATTTTGATCGTCGTCTTGAATTTTGTGAACTATTGAGTCAGCGCTTGACTGAAAATCCACATTTGTTGCACAACCTTTGTTTTTCGGATGAATGCACATTTTCAGTTAATGGTTTAGTTAATAGACATAATTGCAGATATTGGGCTGAGAGTGATCCACATGTTGTGCGTGAATACCACACACAGAATCCTCAAAAGTTAAATGTATGGTGTGGTATCCTAGGTGACCACATAGTCGGACCTTTCTTTTTAGATGGAAACTTAAATAGAGAGTCATATCTTGAGTTATTGAGAGAAGTAATTGATCCACGTATTACAACAATAATAGAAAATGATCATAATCTTTCTGAAGATTTGCTTGTCTTTCAACAGGATGGAGCGCCTCCACATTTTGCTTTGCCAGTACGACAATTTTTAAATGAAACTTTCCCCAATCGTTGGATAGGTAGAAGAGGCTCGATGATGGAGTGGCCACCTAGATCACCGGATTTATAACCTCTAGACTTCTTTTTATGGGGTTATTTAAAAACAAAAATTTATGCTACCCAACCAAAATCTTTAGAAGATTTACGACAAAGAATAGAGTATGAATGCCTATATTTAAATGCACACGTGTTCGGTAATGTCAGGGAGGCTTTTCAATCTAGGTTATACCATTGTATGGAAGTAAATGGTGGACATTTTGAACAATTTTTATAATAAATTTTGAAAATGAAATATTCGTTTTGTCATTGGAAACGCTTGTGACAAAATCATTAAAATAAAAGTTTTGCACAATTCAATTTTATTTTAATTTAAAATTCTGTAGATCGTAAACTAATTACTTTAATCCCCATGTTTTATACATTTTTGAAATCAGTTAAACGAGAGCAATCTAAAAATGGATAAAAAAAATGGGGCAAGCCATTTAAAAAAATTGAAGGGATGATAGTAGGGGTGAAAGGGTGACTTTTTTAGCAAACTTAAATATGGCACGATATCTCCCCCTTCGAATATTAATTGATGTATTTTTTTGTTTTTTGTAATAATCAGTCCTTCAAAAGTTACTTAAGGTGGATACTTTTATCTGAAAAGCACTGTATAAGCGGTCCCTATTTAAGTAAACATAGCTTGCAGTGAGGAAGTGTGAATAAAAGTAATTAAATTAAGAAAAATGGCGTTAAGGTGGTTTATGTTACATCTACTTTTCGGTGTTGGCTTAATGGATACTCAGAAGCCGAATATCATCGTAATTATGGCAGATGATATGGTAAGTTAGTTGTAATAATTTTTTAGATTTCAAGTATCTATACTTGATGTAATTTTCCTCGATTAGTAATCGAATAATTGTTTTTTAGAAAAATCGATAATCGATTTATCAAAAATGATCAATTATTTTCAATCAGTCGATTATTTTAAATAAAAATTAATCTATTATTTATTTTGACAATCGCCCGGTTCTATCGAAGAATATATATTATAAAACGATGTTTTATTACCTTATTAATATACAGGGTGTCCCAAAATTCCGTGTACATAGATCTACTGTATGTTGGTGAGATCAAAATAAGTCGATTGAGCCAAAATTACCTATATCACAAAGTCCATCGTTTGCCTGTGAGGAAGCTTCAAAGTTGGAAGAAAATTTTAAATTTTTTTTAATAACACAAAAACGCTTCGTTCAATTTTTATAGAATTTGTTGTGTAGCTATTTTAATTGAAGAGCCATTGTTCAAAGCAAAAATTACACCAACTGAAATTATGGAAGGGTAAAAACCACCCTAATCCTACCATAAATGACATCGTATGTTTTTTTTTAAGGGCCGCCCCTGTTCCCCTTAATTTCTTTGTGGAGAGCTGTTTTAATTTGTAGCATTTTTTCTCTCTTGCAAAAAACATGTATCTCTCATGATATTTGAGTAAAAAAAAATTTATGGACTGAAGGTTAGTCACTTAAAATTTTCAAGAAAACTAAGTTGGCGCGGTTACTACTGCAACCGGAACACGATTTTAACGTTATTACAATCATTAATAGGCATAGGTATCTATTGAAAAATAACAATTCGAAAAGAAGGATAATTTTTTTTTACAATAAATGTTCAATATGGCCACCTCCTTCGTTCATGCAGATTTCAATTCGGCGTAAGAAATTGAAGTGTACCCTTCTCAAAATGCCTAGATTATTTCGCATAGAGTTCACAGCAGTTTGAATCCTACCCCATAATTGTTCAATGTTGTCGATAGAAACTTCATAAACTTTGGTTTTCAAGTGACCCCTGTTAAAATAATCACAAGGATTATAGTCCGGTGATCGAGGTGGCCACTGAATAGGAGCATCCTGACCTCTGCCAATCCATCTTCCATGGTATTGTTCGTTTAAATAATCTCTCACAATGCGGGAAAAATGAGGTGGTGTACCATCGTGAATAAAAAACATGTCACGGCGTAAATTGAGCGGTAAATCTTCTAACAGTTGAGGCAAATCTTGACGTAGGAAATGCAAGTAACTGTCACCGTTAAGACGATCTGGTAATCTAAATGGACCAATCAAGTAGGTGTCAATAATACCCACCCACACATTAATTTTAAACTATCGTTGAAAGTGTTTCTCTTTAATGGCATGTGGATTTTCATCTGCGAAAACATGTTCGTTATGTGAATTTGTTATACCACGTCGTGTAAAGCATGACTCGTCTGTAAACAAAATTTTTCTGTGAAAAACTGGATCGGCCGCTCTGTGCTCTTGAATAACTTGTACAAAATGCAAACGAAACTCATAAGCAGGAGGTAGGAGTTCCTGGACACTTTGAATGTGAAAAGGGTACATAAGTTGTTCTCTAATTATTCTGTTGGATGTGCTTTTTAAAATACTAGTTTGGCGTGCCAGTCGTCGGGTACTAATTCCGGGATTATTTTTAACTATTTCAAGTATTCCCTCCTCTGCAGCAGGAGTTCTAACATGACGAGGTCTTCCAGCGTTATTTCTGTTCGGTATCAGTTGACCAATTTTTCGAAGTCGCCTCTCGATAGAAGTAAAAGTCTGGTGATTCGGAATCTGTAGATTTGGAAATGTATCGTGGTATACCCGAACACTCTCACGGCAGTTGCCATTACAGAAACCAAGCACTAGCAACATATCAGTTTGTTCATTGAATGTGTACTCCATACCAACCACAAAATGTTTGAAACTCCTTCACAAAAACTTTAAATCGAAACAGAAAAAATACAATACATACATAAAATAAGTAGTATCGGCAATTTTTACAGTTCTACAACATACATATCTATCAAAATTATCAAATTGTTTATTGTAACGTTGACAACCGCCAACTTAGTTTTCTTGAACATTTTAAGTGACTAATCCTCAGTCCATAATTATTTTTTTACTCAAATATCATGAGAGATACATGTTTTTTGCAAGAGAGATAAAATGCTATAAATAAATATAGCTCTCCACAAAAAAAATTAAGGAACAGGGGCGGCCCTGAAAAAAAAAATACGATGTCATTTATGGTAGGATAAGGGTGGTTTTTACCCTTACATAATTTCAGTTGATGTAATTTTTACTTTAAACAATGGATTTTCAATTAAAATAGCTACACACCAAATTTTATAAAAATCGAAAGAAGCGTTTTTGTGTTATTAAAAAAATTGAAAATTTTCTTCCAACTTTGAAGCTTCCTCACAGGCAAACGATGGACTTTATGATATAGGTAATTTTGGCTCAGTCGACTTATTTTGATCTAACCAACATACAGTAGATCTATGTACACGGAATTTTGGGACACCCTGTATAACGATTGGATATTTACTAATTATCGATAAATTAATAACAACCGAATTAAATATTAAAGATCAATTATATAATAATATATCGATGGAACTAATAATCCATAATCCGATTATTCCGAAATAATCAATAGGGCACTATTTACGTACGCTAGGGGTAAAAAAAATAAAATACTGTTACTTATTAAAAATATTAACTATCCATAAGTAATATTCTCCACGAAGAGCTCTTGGTGACGTGTTTCGGGTTTAAATAAAAATGTACTGTAAACTATACACCCCTAAACCTCGTTTACATTAGGCTTAGATTAAAATACGTACTAATAACACTCCCCAATAAAATAGATTAAATAGTAATAAGTAATATAAAAAAAATAAGATAGCAAAACTTACGGTACACCGTGACTTTTTTCCAGCTGCTCTAGTAGACGGTTGATGTCCTACTTCGGCATACAAATCAATCTGCCTGTTATAAAGGTTGCTAGCCCGTTACACCATTACTAGCTGGTCACAAGATGCGCTAGTCAGACCGTCACAAGAATACTGGCTCGTACCAAGAAGTGTTGGCTTTCACAAGGGTTGATAGCCCGTCACAAGAAGTATTGGCCCGTCACAAGAATACTGGCCCGTCACAAGACTGACAGGCCGTCACAAGAAGTGTGTGCCCGTCACAAGAAGTGTGTGCCGGTCACAAGAACCCTCTCACAGCTAAAAAGAGGGACAACGCGATGCACCAGATCAATTGAACGGCAAATTCGTGAACGGCTTATTCAGAAAGACTACATATATATGTGGGCACTATGAGATTCAACACGTGGTTAAATATATCCTCCTAAGAGCTCCTACAACGTGGTCACCAAAAAAATACTACCACACCCACACTGTTGTAGCTTAAAACAAAAAAGTTGTTCCGCAATATCCCAAATGGATTGAAACGAGTTCCAATAAATTTCGAAACAGTACCTTTCAAAACCAAAACCCTCGTGTCGAATATCCGTCTCGAAAAATCCAGAAAGGCGGAAACCTACGTCACTTAAAATTCCAAAAACCAGTAATACCAACATACCTTAGTGACAGATAGGTGTCCCATCAGCGCCCTCTATTACGAAATAAATTCTTAACAGAGAGGGCTAAAATAAGCAAACAAAGCCTCTAAAACGAAATAAATAGCCTAACTAAACCCAAATAGAGGTCCTATCTACCCCAAACTGATCATATACTCACAATTAACGACAGGACGGAAACGCTAGACCGACATCTTGAATACAGGGCAGCCACATTCTCATCCAGAGTGTCACAGAAGGACCGCTCTGTTCGAATATCGAACCAAAAGCACAGTGGTTGAAAATGCGGGTATAGAAGGACCCATTAAATAATTATTGAACACGGATAAAAACTAGTGTATTCTTATTTCTATGAAAAACCGCTATAAGGCCAAATTTAAACGTTACAAACTTTAAAGTTAAAACTCTTATCATACCATAATCAATAGTTTTTAGCCTCGTAAATTAATTACCGCTATGTAGATATCGGAAGATCTTCTAAGTTAGGAATGTCACCATCACTGATAGCCTCGGTAGCCTCTCTAGCTCCAAAACATCCAGTTGAATAATTCAAAAATAGTTTCTGTTAAAGTTGAGTATATAGCAGTATCTAGCAGTGAATTTTCGATAGGAAGGAGAAAATTTATAATGTGAGACTGCTTACATTCGCTTTCACTATCTTTTACAGTCTGTTGATTTAAGTTATCAGATGAGAAAATAAATTTTAATCGGTATTTTTTTCATTTAATTTAATTATTTAAAATTAATTCTGATGACTTGGTAGGATTCCCCACTCGACCATTCACTGTTGGGTTCTAATTGACAGTGCTGTTCCTAAAGTGGCGCTGGGAAACAGTAACAAAGCCTACAGAGAACACGAGGCTAATGGCTGTAGTAGTCGACGCCGATGACACCAAATTAAAAAAAAAAAAAAAAAAAAAAAGTTCCAATATTGAGAGCCAGCCAGATCCCCACCTAGAGAAATTTCCTTCTCTAAGCATATTGCTAGCGCCGATAATTAAATGGTAAATCAATATGATATTAATTTATACAGGATGTCACATAATTAAAATAACATTTTTAAATGGAATTTTAAAATGTTACAATTTCACAAAATTTTGGTATATTGATTATTACAGGTGACCTTATGCCTATATACTGGTTACTGTTACATTTTAAAAGAATTTGTTCAGGTTTTCAGGGGATTATTAAGACTTCATGGACTGCGATTTGTTAGAATACTGATTCTTCTAAATTTACATTTAAAATATGACAATTTATCTAGGTTTTTCCTTTAAGAAGTTGGAGAGTACAGTTATCTCTGGGAATGACATTCTGTTGACAATAATAGATTTCTTCAAGAGATGGACATTTTTCTCGTACAAACTGTGTATCTTGATGTTTTCGTGCCAAATAAGGGAATAAAGGTGTATACATTTTTTGGTTTTGGATAATGAGAAATAAATGATAAAATTCAAAGGTATTACTTTCAAAATAGGAAAATGTATTGCAAAAATCTACTTAGATTCTGAAATTATTATTTGCGATCCTAAGAACTGATAATACGTTATTAAATTTGTAAATTTCGGAATTTGATCAACATTATATATTTTATGTAAATATTTTATCATATTTTTTTATGTCTGAGCTGGAAACTAGAATTATGTAAAGTATTTAATTTTGCAATGGTTATAGTATTTTCTAAATTATCTTTAAAAAAATTGTCATTTGACAATCTAAATCAATTTGTGATATAATGGCCTGATAACTAATATAACCTTCAAGTGTATCAATTCTATTAAAAATAGCTGCTTGAATTTTTTCCATATCAACTTTAATTTTTTCTATTTTTACCTAAGATTGTGATTGATTTATTATAATGATCAACATGCCTTTTGTACAACAAAATTTGAAGATTTGTTTCCTTGATAATATCATCAGAATCAAGATTTCCAAATAGCCATTTGTTAAGTTTCCCAATTGCATTTATTAGAGCTCTTTTATGTCTTACATGAGGAACTAAATTATTAGTCTTTTTCTGAAGAGTAATTATTAGATATTCTGTTATTGTTAACATATTTTGTGATAAGCTATGATAAGATATAGAGTTAGTTGCATTAACATAAACTGTAATATGTTTTATCGATTCAAAATGAACTGTAAAACTTCTACTTGGAACAGCGTCGTTATCAAAATGGATTTAATTTTCGTTGGTATCCTGTAACAATTTTTCTAAATTATTTTTCTGTTTCCTAACAATATTTTTATGATAAGTACCCTTATCCGTTTTTATTAAAATGCCTTTATCTTTAATGACATTTACCTTTTTAAATTTCACAGCGTCTAGGTACACGCTAACTTGTACGCAATTCAAAAAGATATACACGCGAAACGTCTTGACAGAGTAGGTGAGCTGTGTCCATGCCGGTCGGCGTAGCCAGGTACGGATCGAAATTTTCTGGTGACGGCGAAGCCGCCACCCTACGAAAATTCGTTGCTTCATTTTCTTGTTGTCAAGGCATTATTATTATTATTATTTGTTCATGTATGTAAAATTTGCTTTTAAGGTTTATACAATACTACGCTGCTAGTCACGGCGTAAATGAAAACAAACAATACGCATTTACACAAACACCTCCCACCACAGCAATATGACGTTTCGCGTGTATATATTTTTTTGATTTGTGTACATTTTAGCGTGTACCTAGCAGTGAGTTTTGATTAGAATAGTTATCTGGTTCAGATCTCTTTTGATTTAATTTGTTTATTAAGTGTTCTTTTACTTCTTCGTTACGTTGTTTAATTTTGTTATACATCTGTTTCCTAATTTGTTTATGACTTGTACATAATTAGATATTATTAAGTGATTGTCTAAATCAAACGGATTTGGATTATCAATGTGTCATTTAATTATTTCAAATGGCGTGAACTTTGTCACTGAATGTATACTATTATTATAACAAAATACAGAATTTTTTATTAGTCGTTGTGAAATGTTTGATTTTTTCTTGTAAACATCTATAATGTTCTAATAGACTTGAGTGAAACCGATCCACTGGGGAATTTGAATTACTATTTTTTGCGGTAATGATATGTAAATGGATATGGTGTAATTTACAAAAATCTTCTAAATCGAAATTTTTTAATTCTGTTCCACTATCGATAGTAATTTTTTGGGGCTGTCCGTGATATGAATTAAATTCTAAGAGTTTTTCTACGACTGATATTCCTGTCTAGGGGATAAGCCTGACCCTATCGCGTAAAAGAATTAATTATAGTCAAATAAGATTTATTAGAAATGTAAAATATATCTAAATGTATGTGTTCAAAGAGGTTTAATGCATGTCGAGAAGACCTTTATCAGCTTGTAAGACGACCTTCGTTGTGTTTTATTGGTGGAAGACTATTATTTTTATTTTTCTTACTATAAAAATAAGCATCACACTTGGTTTCACCTTTGCGACTATATTTTATTTTTATTTTTTTACGCCTATTCATGTGGGTGGAAGACGTAGTTTGTTGTACAATTTAGGTGGAAGACAATATTTTCTAATCTTTTTATGTTCATGTCAATGTGTACACCAAGTTTCATCCATGCGAAAATTACTTTTTTTATATTTTTTTTTTTACTGGAATTGCAACCCTCCCGCAACCCCCTGTCGTACAACTGAAACGGAAGACGATGATTTTACTGTTAGATGCTATTTAAATAACTTATATTCAAAAAATAAAGCTTGCGAAAATGGTTTATTGAAATCTGTCATTACCTCCGGACTATATTTAATACAAACTTCCAAATAATTGTATTGCTAAAAATAATTGCTAAAAACACGTTAGATTAGATTATTTAAAATAATCTATTATTATCGTTATCGATTATTTAAAAATAATCTTTTTTCAAAAGAAAAGACTTGTATTTCGTGCAAAACTTTTTAATTAATAAATGCAAAGCGCTTTCGGCATTGTGCCATCATCAGTGCTTATTGTCCACAAACAAGCATATCCACCAAGTTCTTAGTCATCCTCGCTCCCAAAATAAAATATTTCTGGAGATTCACAACTTGCTAAATCATAGTTATTACTATTAGTAATATTTTCAATTTTAAATTGATTTATACATTCACTTTGAAACAGTCAGTTAAACAATATTAAAATGAATCTCCAGAAATATTTTATTTTGGGAGCGAGGATGACTAAGAAATTGGTGGATATTTGGATATGCTTGTTTGTGGACAATAAGCACTGATGATGGCACAATGCCGTAAGCACTTTGCATTTATTAATTAAAAAGTTTTGCATGAAATAGAAGTCTTTTTTTTAATCTAAACTACGTGTACACAACTGTCAACCTTTTCTGGTTATTTTAATAATCTATTTTCTTCTATTAATCGGTCATTTTGGAATATACGATTAATCAAAAATAATACTTAAGTACAGCAAATTAGTTAAGAGTTGTGGTATTAATAACACACTTAATACAAACCCTAATAAAAAAAACAGCGATATTGGTGCTGGTACAAAGTTTTGAACCAAACTTAAAAATGCTAAAATTATTGGAAAAGATTAAACACCCATTTTAAATTACTACAAGCCGCCACTGTTTACCAGTTAATACTAAATGTCTCTTCGTTGTGGTGAGAAATCTATTAAACGCGTAAAAATGGAAATTAGCTGATCGCGTCGGTTTACGTTACTATCCCTGATCGTTAGTTTTAACCAATCATCGTCGAGTCGGGACTCACCTGAGATAATATACTGGCGTTTGTAGGCTAGATATTTCACAGCGAGAAAGGGTAACGTAATAATCTTTAGTTGAATTTAGAAATGACAGAGACGACATTAGGAGTAAAAATGGTAAAGAGCACAAAATGGTAAAATAAATGGCTTGTGCAAAATGTTGAAGTCAGTTTATTTTCGAAATTTAAATTGTTTCACAACTTATAGCTGATAATCAGCTAATTTGAGAAAATCATTTATTTCTAAAACATATTTAACAAAAATCCTCCTTAAAATACCACGAAACGTTAGTTAATCCTCTTTATGTAAAAATTTTAAATACCAAAGACAATAATTTAATTTTTTAGGGCTTCAATGATGCAGGATTCCATGGCAGTGATGAAATTCCAACTCCTAATATAGATGCTTTAGCTTACAATGGAGTAATTTTAAATAAGCATTACACTCAAGCATTGTGCACCCCATCAAGAGCTGCTTTCCTCACTGGAAAATATCCCATACATACAGGTGAATATTTTAACATAATAAATTATTAAGATTGTTTAATTTTGAGACAATGTATTTAATGAATATTTATTGAGACAACATTTACAATATCATGTAGTTGAGTTGAGTGACACTAAACTAAGGACCGATCTTTTCACCTCTGAGTTAAGTTACATGTCAATTTATATGAGAGATTAACAAACAATATCCCTATAGTTTAATCAGCAAGTAGTTACTTTTAACTTTATTCAGAGGTGAAAAGACTTGCCCTAAGTTCAAAAGAACCTAATTAATATTATGTATAATTATTGATGGGCTTACAATTTTTTAAACGCATAACTGTTTCTATCCCCATCCGATCTATTTAACGTAGAGGCAGCCATTTTGATACGGTTTTACTGATACATATTTCACCAGAAATACATTATTAGAAAAACTTGGTTTCATATTTATAGGTCGTTCCCCTTTTAATCACTTAGCATAATGTTACGCAGCACCCTGCAGTAGCCTGCGGCTATAATAGGGAACGTACAGATAGAAAAAGAAGTGGAATGTTACTCATCACTCTACAGTGTGCTGCGGTCGTCATAAGTAAAAGTACAAGTAAAAGAATATTCCAGAAATGTCATTACCCGTCAAGAACATTCTAGATGACAAATCGAGAAAGTTTGAGAAGGTCAAGAAAGCTATAGGGACCGTGCGTCATGACTTTAACGCTAACTGGTGACAAAAATGTGAACTTTATGGGGGGTATTTATTAATGTTTTATACGGCATTTATTGTTTAATAATTATTAATTAAATAAAGTCGAATTATTTTCGTAATATCATTATCGAAAAAACTTGTTGCATCCGTGGATGTACAAACACATCACTTTGGAAACCTGGATTTCATTCGATAGTAAAGAAATTTTATAAATTTCCACAGAGTACAGAGCACAATTAATGTCTCACAGCCAATGATATACATAATTACAAAGATTGCTTATCCATATGTAAATCAGACTACGAAAAGCGTATTTCACTGGGCAAAGTTTTCTTTTTATCTAGCTTGTATCAATTTTGAACACGTAGTTGTAAAGAAATTATTTACAGAACCGTTTTAGAAATTAGAATCTTTAGTGTTTTCTTGTCATTAAGATTTTTACATATTTAAATGAACATTTTATATAAATATAATTTTACAGATAATTAACGGTTTATTCTGTTGATTAAAACTAATGTAGAATGTTATTATGAAATAAGAATGTCCAATTTGACAAAAATATCATGGCCCTCTTTACAATTTATTAAATATTTCTCATTATTAAAATAAACAAATCATAAATAATACATTGCAATTACTGTCAAAAGAGAATGCAACAAACTTTAAAATATTAAAAATCCAGTCATTTTTTGTCAATTTTTTTAGTGATATTACAATTAAACATTATTCAGAATAATAGATAATTTGTCCAATTACAACTCTTACCAAAGTTATTTATACCTCATATCAAAGTTGTTTGCATTACCTTTTCAAAATTGTATTACATATTGCAATTATGTATTTTATGTAGTATTATTTCTGAAGTATGATAATAATAATATTATTTCAGTAGTCTAAAATTATTTACATCCATCTGTTATAAAAATTGTTTAGATCTCCTAATATTATTTAACTACATGGAAACTCAACTTTCCAAATACATAATAACATGTCTTGAAGTAAAACTTTAATTATTTTCTTTTTCTAAAGATTAAAATGCTTAAATTTTATTTTAAAACACATTTGGGCTAGAACGGCTCTATTTAGTGAGCACTAGGAAAGGCACATTGCAACCCGCTTTTCATAATTTTTTTATAGATGGGTGAGCAATTTATAATATGTATCATTGGACATCTCATAAACGTCAGTGGATGAATGACATTTCGACATAAAGCTAAAAATATTTATTATTATTATCAATCTATTTTATTAATTTACATTTTTTAAATGTTATTGTAATACTTTTAAATTCAGTGTTACTAAATACCGATATTTTTACATTGGATACACTTGTTTAAGGTACAACTTTACAATTTATTGTCACTTAGCCATTTAAATCTTTTTGCTTAAAATGTATATACATGTCCAGATTTTAATAATATTTCACATTTTATGTCATTTTGACCATGTACACGATTGTTTGGTACGGGCCGGTATCTATTTTTAACTATATTTAATATTTTAAAAAATATCCTTTATTATTTACTTGCAATGTTTACCCCAATTAATTCTAAAATTAAACACTAGAGAGGGCTAACTTCGGCAGTAGTGCTGCCTCTATATTTCACGCACGGTCCATATATAAGTCGACGACCTGACGTCAGAGTTTTAGTTTTATGAGAGACGTTATACGTGAATGTTATCAGTTGTAAAGATATTGTCAAAGTTGAATTATAGTTATTGTAAAGTTCAGTTGAAATACATTGTGATACCAAAAACCAGCGTAACATTGGTGACAGCGGTGGGATCTAAACTAAAAGTTCATGGTAAATACCAGATCTACCGAGTACGAAACAGAAATGGACACTTCAGGCCCACCAGCATGGTTTTTGAAGATGGAAGAGGAGAGAGTAATGCGATAAGAGGAAAAGTAACGGCGTAGGAAGGAAGAAGAGGAGGAGAGAGTGAGGCGAGAAGAGGAAAGGGAAAGGTGTAGGAAGGAAGAAAATAAGGAAAAGGAACGGCGTAGGAAGGAAGAAGAGGAGGAAAAGGAACGGCGTAGGAAGGAAGAAGAGGAGGAGAGAGTGAGGCGAAAAGAGGAAAGGGAAAGGTGTAGGAAGGAAGAAGAGGAGGAAAAGGAACGGCGTAGGAAGGAAGAAGAGGAGGAAAAGGAACGACGTAGGAAGGAAGAATAGGAGGAAAAGGAAAGGCGAGAAGAGAAGAAAGAGAGAGGCAGGATGGATGAAGAAAAAGAGAAGGAAGAGAGGCGTAGAAAAGCTGAGATAGAAATTATGAATGGTTTGCTGCAAATCCAAGATAACCTTAAGCAAGAGGTAGGTCAGCTAAACAGCAGAGTAGATCTATTAACACAACAACAAGATAATTTAAAAATTAATTTAGAACAGCAGTTACACAACAACAAGATAATTTAAAAATTAATTTAGAACAGCAGCAAGGGAACCTAAAAACCAATTTAGAGCAACAACAAGAAAACTTAAAGATTAATTTAGAACATCAACAAGAAAATTTAAAAGCTAATTTAGAGCAACAGCAAAAGAATTTAAAAGATAATTTAAAACAACAAGAAGAGACTAGAGTAGAATTGGAAAGGCAAATTAGAGCTAAAATGGCCGAGTTAGAGAGAAGAATTCGTAGCCAAACTTCCGTAAGCAACATTCAAGCTAAAAACACTACCTCGTCTTCATCTGTAACCGACCCAAGCCGTATTTAAACCCCAGTCTCACAAAACCAAAGTAACAAGACCCTGAAACCACCCACGTTTGACGGTCAGACAACATGGGAAACATATCGACTCCAATTTGAAGCTGCAGCTAGAGCCAATGGCTGGGCCGAGAAAGAGATGGCGGCTTCATTGATAGTTTCACTGCGAGGTCAGGCAGCAACCGTTCTACAGTTTCTTCCGCAAAAAGAACTCAGTTATTCATCTCTCGTCCAAGCTTTGGAGACAAGATATGGCCAGCAGTATTTGCAACGAGTATTCCAAAGCCAGCTAAAGGTTCGTAGTCAGAAACATAATCATAGTACAGGAATTCGAAGCTGATATACGAAGGTTGATTCATCTGGCCTATCCAAGAACAACTCGGAATAAAAGCATTCATTGATGGACTACAAGATGCGGAAATGCAGCAAGTCCTTCGTCTATAACATCACAAGACACTGAAGGAGAAACTGATTGCAGCCCAGGAATATGAAGCGGTAAAACTCATATCCAGATCTTCTTGCGCAAAAATAAGAGAAATTAAATCCCAGGAAAGTGAGGAGACCCATACTAATGCTATTCCCCAAACTTCCCTCTCGCAAATATTAAATATCCTGCAAAATATACAACGAAATAACCAAAATAAGAACAGAAGTTGCTTCAATTGCGAAAGAATCGGGCACCTTCAAGAACTTGTAGAATCAGAGCTCGTTCTAAAAATAGAGAATCAGGGAATGAAGTCGGAAAGTAACAAAGATCTTCCGAAGCCCGTCACGAAGTCCAACAAGAAATAGTCACAGCAGCCATGCGTCCCGAAGTAGCCAATCACCCACAACGGGACGGTTTTCTAGGAATAATCAGGAAGTAGAGCATCGTAGAGTCCATCTGTATAGCAATGCAGACATTCTCTCTAGGCGACCCTGTTTAGAAAGAGAATGCCAGTACAGTAAGGGGCTCGGAGAACGGGAGGAACCAGTTGATAAAGTTACCCTTCAATTCAATTCAAGAAATATCTTCCTGGAGTGTGTATTCGGCTAAACTTTTAAATAATGTTAGATATGTCGACAATGTCATAAGCTCATGATGGTATATCAAGTAGAACTACTATAGCATCGTCTATTTTAGTTATGCTTGAAGCAATTTTAAAGAATACAAAGCAGTTAAATTGTCCTGAATTTCTCTTCCTCGTCGAAAACCTGACTGTACTGAATTAAGCAGGCTGTTATTATCTAAATGCCACTCCATTTTGTTTTTAATTATTAAAATAATTAACCGGGACAAGAGAAAAGGGTAATAGGTCTTCAACCTTCCGTAGAACTAATATCTTTGCTAGGCTTGCATACAGTTGTCACCAGTTGAGATTTCCACTCTTGATAAATAGGTTCCAAATTTGTTAAAACTCTATTGTATATATTTAATAAATATTTTCAGACCACTTAAAAGAAAATGAGATAGCATACTATTTTATATGTTTTCTAATAAACCTGGAGCCGTATCCCTTTCTCACTGGAGAACAGATTTAATTTCATCTTAAGTGAAAGGTTTACTTGTGTTTACAGAAAAATTTATTTTAAATATGTTATCTTGAGCAATGTTATCAGCAAGCTTTAGTAATAAT